GTTATACTCTGTTGAAAAAAACTTTAATCCTATAAAAAAGATGGTTGAGGATTTAGAAAAATTTGAAAATGCCAAAATGACAAGAAATACATGGAATGGACAAAATCCAAATACCTTTTATTGGCAATAAATAAATTGGTAAGTTTATATACAATCAAGTATTCTAGTTTTAAACAATTATATTTTATTGATAGTTAAATATCTAATAACAGGTCTTTTCTCTCACAATTCATATCGATTACAGCAATAAGCAATGAAATTTTTTCAGATTATCAAAGTTAATTTTCGTTTTATTATGTTTGCACATGCAAAGCTTAACAATTTTTTTTAGCAAAACATTGTACGTAGTAAGCCTTGTAATATTTTACAGTTAAAATAAACTGCATTATATTTTTTAAATGCGTATTAAAATAAAAATTCAGGTGGTTATAAATAACGATTAGAGGCCTGCACGGGCCGGGCCAAAATTTTAAAATTTCAAAAACCTCTCAAAACTGCGGGCCTGATAAGGTATAAACATAATAAAATGCGGGCCGAAATTTTAAAAAACATAGTAAATTTTATTTTGCGGGCCGAGCGGGCCGGCAAAAGTCCAAATTTTTAGGCCCGTGCAGGTCCCTAATAACGATCATCCAAAATTGCATAATCATTCTAACAAATATTTACTATTCACTTTGTTTCGTGTATTATTTTCAATCTTATATCATATGACAAAGTTATCGGTATATCAATACTAAAAATTTTTGAACACCGATACGTAACTGATTTTTGGGGTGATACTAGGGCGGTTGTAAACTTATCATTTCAGTCATTTTTCAAGTGTCTCAGAATTTATAGTAATGCAGATCCAACAATTTCATGCATAGCCCTGATAATCTTTTATATAATGGCCCCTATAAAGAATGGTGCACAAGATTTATTGTCAAACACAGGTACATAACATCATAAAAGTAGAGTGTCTAGGGGTCTGTGGCAGCAGAATCTGTGCAGAATTCTGCTTTTGGCGCAGTTCTGCCTGCTCAAGCAGAAATAAATGATTGGAGAACATAGTCTATTGTGATAAAATTAGAATTTTCTTTTTGTCGTGATTTTGTTGTGATTTTGTTTTTAAAGTATTATTTATATACTGCCACAGAATTCACAAATCTAACAGTAATTGCAGCAGAATTTGTCGATTAGGGCAGCAGTCCCCTGGACACTCTACATAAGAGTATACAGAATTATATGGACTATATGGAATATAACATGGGACAGTGCGTGAGAAGACATGCCCTAAATATGTAAAAAAGCACAACAGTATATGCATTTGCGTGCTTTTTTACATGCTTTTTCGTACAATTTCCAGTATAGTTATGTATAAGCCGTTCATTATTTCATGCACATATCGTGCATATAAGAAAATTTCATGCAATTATATGTTCGTCAACTTAGCTTGCTTCTCGGAATTCAATGTTTTGAACATGCTATTTTTCGTGCTGACATGTGTACTCATGTGTAAAAACTTTTTATAAGGGGTCTTTGCAATATTCACGTAACAAATTTGTAGCGTTTATTCCATATCCTATAGCGAGTATATATAGTTTAAGTACAGTATGATCATTAATTTAGTATCATATGATATGATTAAAATTATGATATGTATGATATGTATCTGTGTACATACGTGTATATTCGTACAAATTGATAATAAGCATGATCGTAACGATAAAGCAATAAATACAAATTGATCGTGTAAATCCAACCCTTTTTAGTCTATTTCCTTATTAAATTGATACCAATACCGATACAATAGATCTAAAGACACCAAATTCAAAGTTTTTCAACTACCCAGAAGTAGTAGAAATATCTGATACGGATGATGAGCAAACAACAGCGGTACTTGCATAATAATTATAATTTAGTAAACTTGGATTTTTAAATATTATGTGCTTATAATTGTACGTTTCTTGGTTTTATTAAAAAAAAAGGATACAACCAAATATGAATATTCTGCATCTGAAATGGTATCAGAAAAAAGTAATTGGGATAAAGTTAGTGCGATAAGGAATAATAGAGGTGTTCAAAGAGAATTGAGTGCTTTGTCACATGAATCTGATAGCACAAATAATTCTGGTAGTGTTTTTAACACACCTCTTTCTAAATCCTCATCGATTTGTGAATTAGATAATATTTATAAGGTAAAATAGATTATAAGGTCATACAAAAACTTAATAAATTGACTCTCATAATATAAAATGTTAAAGTGATCTGGCAACCCAGATATTGATTTAATTTTCAAAAAATTTTATATATAAAAAATATATATAATTTTTTATAACTTTTTAAAAAACATACCTGGATAGTAAGTTTACTTTAAAATTTTTGAAAATTTTAACCTGGTAAGGTTATGAGAATCGATTTATTAAGTTTATATGACCGAATATATAAATTATAAATTATTTTTTTATATTAAATAAATAATTCTAACTTAAATAATATTATAGTTTAAATAAATAGAATTCAAAAAATAAAGTTACTAAAAGTTTAGAGAGTTTGAAGATGAAGTTATTGCACTTAATAATAGTTTAAAAAACAATATAATTAATAGTAGTTTTGAAACTACTAATAAAAGCGATATATTTAATTATAATTTAGTAAGTATAAATATTATTATTATAATTTAATTATTTTAATTTTATAATTTTTGTATTATGTTTAAACTAACATTTGCACAATTCGATCGAAATTTAAGTGTCGATCAAATTGAATATTTTCTTGAATTTCAAGAATATCCAAAAACTTCACTGACTGGAGTTGCTAGTATATATAATGTTTCTGGATGGGATCCTAATGAAGCTAAACAAGCATTTGGAATTGCCAATATTCAATATTCTTATAGAAATCCTGGAAATATACAACAAATACAAAAATGTCTATTTTTAGGAGTATCTGTTCATAAAAACTATCACTCATGTCAGGGTATAAAAATATATGAATTTAGTTCACCAGAACTTAATGTTGTACATACATCTATTGATTTGAAAATCAATTAAACAAAAAAATTTTTGACGCGAATGAATTTTCAGCTTATACAGTTACTCTTAAGTAAGTTTAATTTGATTTAAATTAATTATATTACTATATTAATTAATTAATTTTTAATTTAATTTTAGTACCTTTGGTCAAGCATATAATACTCCATGCCTTTATATTGATCTGCTTACTAATATTCAATATAGTAGAAAACCTGTTCTTAAAGAATACAAACAAGTAATATTATATATTTATTTATTTATAAAGTTAATTATAATATATATTATATTATTAATATTAAATTATAATTTTAGGTTGATAATACAGCAATAGCCATTTGAAAGTTTATAGGATGTGAAAAATATAAATTAGGACAGAAGGGTCATCATTATATTGCAATTAACCAATATGTAAATATAAATTATCTTGAACAACTTTTTCAAAATTATGAATACTGTCCTAATAGAATTAATAAAGAGGTATATAATTTATTATTATTTTATTTATTATTATAAATATTTATTAAATTTTTTAATAATTAATAGGATCAAGATAAAGTTATTAATAAATGCTTTACAGTTCTTCCAAATTCTTCTATAACAAATTATTGCCATAAGTAAAATAATAAATATATACTATATTTTTATATTATTTTATATTAATATAATTTTTATTTAGCATTTCTTTATAAAACTAATACACAAATTGTAAAAGAAAAAATTATTAAAAAAAAAAAACTGTCCTGTAAAATTTTATCATATAATGCCTAATAATTTAATTGAATGTTCATTTATTGTAATTATTTCTATTGGTATCCATAATCACCCACCTCCACCACCTGTTAAAACTCCATGAAATATAATAGAAAATTTACAAACAATTATTAATAATGAGTATGATCTTGATCTTACTGCACGTAAGCTTCTTACAAGTAAGTAATTTTATTTATATAATTATATTATGAAATTTTTAATATTAAAATTAATAAATAATTTAATTATTAAATTAGGGCTAATGATCAAAATGTATTTTCAAGAAAAACCATTGAGTAGTATCTATCTATCTTTAAACAATCAATCATGACTTAATTATTTAATTGAAAAAAACAAATAATCAAAATATCCTTTTGGACAGGATATTATTAGTATATTTTATTAATTTTAAATTAATTTATAGAGTATTATAAATATAATATTTAAATATAATTTTATAATTTAATTATTTACAGTTAGATCTCTCTATAGTCACCTCCTCTATAGTCATATTTATTTATAATCATATAAATTTTTAAAACCAACTTATATAGCACTTATAAAATTTAACCTCTATATAAGCACAAACTCTCTATAAGCACCAAATTCTTAAAACTAAGGGTGTGATTATAGAGAGGTTTGACTGTATTTATATTTTAGGAGTTACATATGAGTTATTAAAACATAAAAATTTACTAGATCCATATATTCGAACTGCTAGTAAGTAACTAAATTAATTATTTATTTATTTTTATTTTTATATTAAAATTTTTATTTAGGACTTTTTGATAATGGACAGTATCTTGTTTTATATATATACAAAGAACAAACAGAATTATTTTCTCAAACATTATATGCTGAAATTGATATGGCTTTTAAAAGAATTCATGGTTCAACAAATGAATAGGAAATTTGTGCATATAATGATCATTATCAAAAAAATAAATAAATATATGTATAATTATTTTTTTTTATAATTATATAAAAAATAATTATAATTATAAAATTAATAATTACTATATATTTATAATTTATAGCATTAGTTTTTGCCCAGGCTTTTACAAATCTTCAATCATTTATTGCATATCAACATCTATTTGAAGATTTATTTACAATTATTGAAAATAATACACAAAAACTATTCAAGTTTCAGCATATTCATGGAAGTGGATTGGGTTGTTTAATTGCTGATGAACATCAAGGACAAGCTCTTGGTACAGTTAAACCTCTATAAATGCAACGTGTACAGACCAGCCTAAAACATGCATTTAGGAAGGTTTGCATTTAGAAGGAGCCAATCAAATTGCAACTTTTAATATTTGATCTGCAGACTTGTGTAACAAACTTAAATACTGACTTCTGATTGGCTATGTGCACTTAGAGAGATTAGTATGATATAAAAAGTCTTTTAAGTGAACATGCATTTGCAGAATATAGAACGTGCATTTAGTACTAATGATTTCATACAGCCAAGACAAAAACATGCATTTAGGGAGGTATTGCATTTATGGAGGTTGCATTTATAGAGGTCCGACTGTAATTATATTATTATATTATATTTTCTATTTTTTTATTTTTTTTTTATTTTTTATTTTTTGTTATTTAATTAAAAAGGTCTTGGCCAATATCTTTATTCTAAATACAATTATTTATCTTGTGAAGAATATTTACAACATATATATAAATTATGTTAAATTCATTTTAATTGGTAAATTAAATAACAATTATAATTTATTAATAATTTATTTTTTTACTAATTTATATATATATTTTAAGAAATATTTGAAATAAATCAATTTTTAATGAAGTAAAAACATTAATGTATTCAATACCAATGTTAAAAACTCAAGAACAAGTATTACAAACATTAACTAAAATCAAAGAATCTGGTGAATTAGGCACAGCGGGTATTTTAATTTATTTTAATTTATTTTAATTATATATATTTTTATTAAACTATTTATTTATTTATAGAATGGGTTCAAGATAAATCTAAGCCTTGGGTATTAGCAGGATTATCTCCAGCATTTACTAAAATAGATATTAATATTTGGAATCAAACTCCTACTAACACTAATGCAAATGAATCTGCACATGCAAATATAAACCAAGATGGTTGTTCTTTATCACATTTAGCAGCAATTTATCAGTTTGTAATTTTATATTTATTTAAAAAATTTATAAATACATATTAATAAATAATTATAATATAATTTATAATATAGAGGAGGTGATTTTGATCAACGACAATAGCATGTTGCAAAAACATATGAAAAATATAATGTAAAAGATTCATATCAAAATAAATCAGAATTAGCACATTTAACACTTAATGCAAAAAAAACTCGTAAGTATAATTTTATATAATTTTATTATTTATATAAATTACAGTCAGACCTCTCTATAGTCACCTCCTCTATAGTTACATTTACTTATAATCACATAAATTTTTAAAACCAACTTATATAGCACTTATAAAATTTAACCTCTATATAAGCACAAACTCTCTATAAGCACCAAATTCTTAAAACTAAGGGTGTGATTATAGAGAGGTTTGACTGTATATATATTTATTTAATATTGAATATACATATTAGAAAAATAGAAAAAAAAATAAAGAATCTGTATTAAAATCTGAACCACAAAAGAGACGTAAAAGTCAAATAAACAAAAATAACAGTAATAATAATTTAGTACAACCATCTGAATTATCTATTGCTATATCTACAACTCAAGAACAACAAAACTATATTGAATGGGAAGATAAAAAACTTGAAATTCAGCAAAAAAATTTAGAATTAT